GAATCATTGCAAGAAAATTTGAATTTCTCCCCTCAATAAGTCACCTTTGCAAGAATTGGGTGATTTGTAGAGCAAAAGAACCCCCTGAAGGTTCTGTGAAGACCATTTAAGGTTCACTTTAACTATATTGAAGTACCATTTGCCCTTGAGTAAGACACATATCTTCCATTTTTCTTGGGAATGTGACAAATATTTATCCCCACTAAAGACATGCAGCCTACTTGTACTTGGCTGAAAATTTTTATAAATATAGCTGGATGTCTTTAAGTAGAATTACAAGGGACCAGCAAAAATGCAACATAGGACGTTTTAAAAGTTAGAAAATATATTGCATCACTTCTGCCTAATCAAAGAAGAATCACAAAAAGTTACTTTTAGCCAGAACCTGCTTTATGAAGGTGTTGAAAGGTGGTGAACTTGGAGCCACGGTTTCATTTGCTCAATTATTCATCAATTCCTTTAAAAAAAGCATCAAATTACATTTTCAATATTTTCATTTTTCTTTGGTCACAAAATTAAAAGATCTCTGGAAACTTCTAGCTATAGAGGTTTGAGTGGGAAAGTTATTTACCTAGGGAGGTTATACATTATTTCTAAGGGAATTTGGACAGGGACTTGAAAAATTCTTTCAAGCAGTGAGGCATTTTACTCTTTCAGGTTTGAGTCATCAAGGTTCAAAATGATCCTTTGAGGTAGCACATAATAATACATGTGGTACCTTGCAATTTTACATCCTGCAATTCAACTATCTGGCAATTTGATGGTCAAATTTGCTAGGAGGTTGACTCTCAATTTGACCTCTGCTGCATAATTTGACCTGTGGAGAGACATGAAATGTAAAATTCCATGTAGAAAACATGCCCTTTGACATTGTCTTGCAATTTGACAGCTTCACAATTTTAGTCCAGCAATGGATTAGGGTCAAATTGCAAGGTACCATCTGTAGCCTGAAGCATTTTAACATGATTTAGAGCCAAGAACTTTTCATTTTCATCAAAAGAGACTCTCTTAATGACTTGGGCTAACATTTTGAAAATTTGTTTTCTGTCAAAAAAGTGTTTACCTGGATACCAGACACATCCGACTTCCCTTCCTTGGTTTTGAAGAAATACTCAAGTATTTACAGCTTATTTTTATTTTGTCTCGCCTTTACATGAACTTCTGCGTTGTATATTTTAAAAGTCCTCTGATGGAATTTTTCTGAACAGTGAAACTACCTTTTCCACTACCTTCTATACTTCACTGTTCATTTGATTCATTTTGCTCAAACAAATTTACCCTTTTTTGTGTAGTCTGGGGAAATAATATAAAGAATGACTATGTGAATAAGCCATGGAAAGTGTTCCTTTTGTGTGTTTTGGTTTAACCGTGATAATAAAACAAAGCCTTCGGGGTATTTCCTTCTACAGTGTTTTCTCTCTCGCACCCCCCAGGAGCCCGTCAATCACCCTGGAAGCGATCTGCCCTACAGGGAATTCCCTGCTTCCATAGCTCCTAAGTGGGAGAGACTCGGATTTCACACCAGGAGAAAAACATATATAAAGAAAAAAAAAAAAAAAAAACGGAGGAAGAAAGGCAAACGTGTGTGAAACGAAGTTCTCGGGCCGAGACGAGCGAGACTTTTTGCTCCAGGGAGTCTGCAAATATCCAATATCACCGGTTGTTATTGGGTTTCATGAGAGGTTTCGCACCCGGTATAGGTTCTCTTTTATTTTCATTTCTTTTTTTCTTTTTTTTGCTCAAGCGGGGTTTTGAAGAGAAAGGCATCATGATAGTCACGGTCTAAATCAGAATGGTTAATATAATCACAAGAACTTTTTTCTTATTTGTGAAGAACAGTTTTTGTTTATTGGAGAATTTCCAGGAAAATTTCATCCTTCAAATCAGAGGATGATTTAAAGTTGAGGATAAATCCGAAAATTTTGTGGGAAAAACAAATTAGAGTCGTGCCTCAAGATGCGGACGTATGTTGTCCCTATTTCGGAAAGTCCGCAAGTCGGATCACATTATCTTCCTTAGACTCAAAATGAAAGTATATTTAATTGGTTCTCATATTGATGAAAAATTAGAAGAAAAGTCCCCCGAAAATTGAATTGAAAAATGATCTCAACTTCAAAATAAAGAGTGTAACAGGGCAGGAAAAACGCACATCATCTTATTCATGAAAAAAGCCCAAAGAACAAACACAAGTTTTCCTATACCTACTCAGATGATTGAAATTATTCAAAAAAAGCACAAAATTAGCCTGCTTCGGATTATGAATTACAGTATAGTGAGTTATTCATAATGACATTTATTTTTAATTTGTGTGCATATTAAAAAGCTCAATTTGTTCAAGAGACACCAAAATTGTGAAAAAAATGAAAATTTTAATTTTTCTAGAAATCATGGCAAAGTCTCCAGATACTGGGGCCGTTTTTTTGAGCTTTAAGTGTCCCTCAGTCGAATCGTCCGTTCGTCGGAGCTCTAATTTACCATTTTCTGCTATAAATTTGGATTATTGCCAAGGCTTATTTCTACTGACAGGATCTTGATCTCCACTTTTTGAATCCACAAAACGCTGATTGATGCAGGGAAAGCATGCAGATAAATTCGCAACTTCGCACACATGATCTATCATACATTGTGTAAACGAAAGTAGGTATACTCGTATTCAAATTGAGAAGTATTTTTATAATACCTTGGCTTTTCCGGGAAGTCTGTAGAGCAAAGTGTCGCCAAACATCGTCACAGGCCGAGGTTTTGCCGTCGAAGTCGTCGTCGGACCGAAATTTCCTCCTTGTCCATTCACTGCCACTGTCGAGCCGGACAGTGCGGATCCATTCACCAGCTTCACTTGGGGACCACTATCCAAGCAATAAACAAATAATTGACAACATGAATGAATGAACAGAACACTTCATTTGCTGCTTTTCAGCATTCACAAGTATTGGGCACAAGCCTTGATATAATTTGATCTCCAGTGATATCAAGAATAAAAACACATTATTCAGTCTGGGACAGGACCAGGATTTCGTTTCAGAATTCCTAGTTTAAAGAGGGGTAAATGTATTTCAGAATAAAGTCAGAATAAGTAACAACTCACTTGAACTCAGCTTGGATAAATTGGAATAATGCAGTAACTGAACTGAATCTGACAGTATGAAGAAAGATGAGCTTATATAATATTAATTATATTTAACCTTCACTAATAATTTTATTTCTTCCTAAATGAATATGTGAACACCTGCTCGAATTTATTTCGGAATAACTTTTTCCTGCGCATTTCTGGGGTAATTGCTCATCTGCAGAAATGCGAGTCTAAAGCATATAAGGTCAACAGTTTATCTTGATCCTTTAAGATTTCAGAAAGGGTCTCTTCTTTGGATTCCAATACTTGTAATTCTTTCTTGAACTCAGACAACATTGAAACAAACAAAAAAGGTATTTGCTCACTTTGTTTCCTCTGGTCCAACCATTTGCTCAGTGTAAGCAAGCGGGAACCAACCGGTTCTCCCAGTGCGCAAATTTTCGCCGAACTGCCATCCTTTGTTTTTCTCTCCTGCGCATTATTTCAGGAGAAAAAATAAATTGAGAACTGAAATTTTAAAGAAAATAAAGGAAGGTGAATTTTTCCTCACCGATAAGAGAAACAATATCGCCTTCGACGAAGCTTAGCTGATGATCTCCGGACGCCAAATACGAGTAAACTGCTCTGACGACTTCCCTTCGGCCGTCGTCGACACTGTCGTCGGCTGGCGTCTGTCTTTGGTCGTCATCCATCCCTTAAAAAAAATCAAGAATTAGAAAAAATAACTCGACGAACTCCCAAACGCAATTAAGTGTAGCAAATCCACGACTCCAAGCGAAGATTTTTACATGCTTTAGACTCGCATTTCTGCAGATGAGCAATTACCCCAGAAATGCGCAGGAAAAAGTTATTCCGAAATAAATTCGAGCAGGTATTCACATATTCATTTAGGAAGAAATAAAATTATTAAATTACTTCGAATCCTCGGGGAAAATCCTGTGCATTCTTTCGTAATGGATTGACAAATTTTCGGCAAATCTGTGAACAAAAAATTTATTGTGACTGAAATAATTGAGAAGTATTCGAATTTAGAATCAATGGCGGTCTAAATTCAAATTTGGACCTTCTTATTTTCGAAATATTGCAGTTCTAGTGTCACTAAAATTGGGGGTTGCGTCCTAATTCAGAGATGCAATTTTATAAGAAATTTTGACTAAAAACATCCTTGTTCATGTTCATTTCAAGGGCGCGTGCTACTTATTGCAACTCAAATAAGTAAGAGCACAGTAAAATCTGGTTACAAAAATCTTGTTGGGACTTTAGAAAACGTTTGTAACAATGAACAATTTTTAATGAAAAGCTTTTTCAAAATTTTTGAATGATCGGAAGATTTTTAATTACATTTACATAAATTCAACATCTTCCTTTTTTGACCTTTTCAGATGTTTTTCTTGTAGTCATATTAACAACCACAACACCCTTCACTTTATGCACGACCCTTTTAAGCTAATGTATTTCCGCTANCACGACCCTTTTAAGCTAATGTATTTCCGCTACGCTTGGCTGCGCCTGGTGCGCTAGCAATTATATTTCACAATCCCGTTGTTGACGGAATACTTTCCCGACTGCGCTCATGCTTCCTTCCTTTAAAATAAACAAAGCATGACGTCCCCGATCCGAATCGGTTCCTATGCGCGTTCTTCGACCTCGGCCGGCCGAAGCTATATATACAGGTGCATTTTATGTTGCGTTAAGTTTACTGCACCAGACTCTGTCCAAATGCCGAATCTATGTTGCTTCGCTCTTGGTAGAAAATATTGTATCAACTGTGTGAAGATAAATAAAGAATCATTTGAAATACTCTCAAGGAGTAACTTTTGTGTTTCCTTCAAAAGTCGCGGAAAACGAATTAAATCTCCGATGCCCTTTTCCACTAATTATCAGAAAGTAGCTCTCAACAACTGATCATCGTTGATCACCAACTTTCGTAAAATAGTTTTTGGATAACATTCTATGCTTAAAAAACTGTGATCTTCATAAATAAATTAAAATGTTACTACTGTAATTAACATTTACTCTGAATAACAGGTATCACTATTACTGTTCATTGAATACAAATTTTTCTAAGGAATTCCTGCACAGACTTGTACGGATAGACGTTTCAAAAGAGCTTGCAATTTTGAAGCAAAAGTCAGGTTTCTCAAGCATAAAACCCCTTTTAACATGAGTTTTGCTGGGTTCATTTTTTTGTCTATCCCCACATCTTTCCCAAACCAGGAAAAATTTTTGAAATAGCGGAGATCCAGGTGAATATTAAAGAATTTTTGTCTGTGATTCCATTTTATATCCCATGAACCAGTCACAGTCACATTTTGAATATGAAATTTGAGACTGTGCCTGCCTTCATTGGGGATTTTTCATCAAGCAATCACATGTTCCTCCAATAGTTTGTAACCCTTTAATTGGTAATTTTGTTGTAACACGAATTTTATAACATGTACCATGTAGGATTTCTGCTGAGACTTTGAAAAAAGTTTGTTAAACAGAAAATTTTGTTGTAAGGGTATTTTTTGCAATGAGATTTTACTGTATTACCAGAATTTATTTCCCAGCAAATATCATTTTTAGTACAGTATAGTACAGCACAGTGTTTCCATTTTTTTTGCCCAGATGATGCTGAAAATATATAATCATATTTATAAAATTGAGAAAGCAACACTCACCTCCGTTCATCCCATTTTGGGACGAGAGGCAGAGGTTGAAGTCTGACTTGGCGCTGCGAACCAGGGTTTGGTTGGGACCCAGGTTGGACATGATGTTGTTGGGGTTCGTGGCCTCGGCCAGGTCAATAACTGAAGTGTCCATGGATCGGGATTTTCTGAGCTGGGCCTGGAGAGAACTCGGGTCCTCAAAGTCTGAAAACGGACTGCTGTACAGGGCTTCCACTGGTGTCTGTTGTAGGAGAGATGAATAAAACCACAAACATGTATCTTCAGTTCACTGTATTTCATTGCACTTAATATCAGGTCAATAATAACAACTTGAATAACGGGGATACAAACTGATGAATACACAGTTGAACTTTAATAACTTAAACCTCCCTCAGTCAAATTTATTTCATATCCCTGTACAGATTCCCTAAGAAACATGTATTAAAAGCCTCTCTGACTCAAAGGCTTTTCCTCTAAAGCCTCCAAAACTCAAAATTTCTGGGGCTATTGTATACTTGACAGGGGAAATAGGAAAAACAATAAAAACCAGCTTGATGTGTTCTGAAAGGAAGTGAAGGACTAATTGTGCAAATCCTATTTCCATGTTCAGCATCATCCTGTCAACTCATTTAAGAGGCAATGTATGGCCTAGAATATCACCATTTACAATTTCCTGCAATTCTTTGGTGACATCAATTTTTACAACAACAAAATTGCCTGCTTCCCTAACTCATAACCCCACTAATAATGTCATATATTTTGCTGGTCCCATGAAATTCAACTTGGAGCGGCTCAACTGTAAATTTTTTTTTGCTAATTCAAAAAACACAGCTGCTGTTTTTTTGCATCACCACAGCAGCTTCCAAAAAATTCCAGACAAATTATCTCCTTTGATCAAACTGCATTTAATTGCAGTTCTGGATGAAATATAGGTGGACTCTCTCTAAAAAGAAATTCGAAGACCAAAGATCTATTGCTTTTCTTTTTCCTGTGCAAATAAAAAACACCCAACAGTCCTCCAGAAAATGCAAGCTATGGAGGTGCAAGCCTTCAAGGTTTAGGTAGATTTTAATGCATTGTTTCTAGGAGAATTCAGACAGAGATTTGAAAATAAAATTTCACATGGAGAGGTAATTGACTCAGGGAGGTTCAACTGCACAAGAACAGCACATGCCATCAGCTCTTGAATTCTTTCTAACTGTTCTGATCACATTTTACTTTTAAAAATATACTTACACCTATATACACTGCTACCTTATACAGTACTCCACTACTGAATACAAGTGAAGCACACAGGGCCGGCCCAAGCCTGCATGGCGCCCGTGTGCAAACCCTCACTTTGGCGCCCCTATACATGAAAAACTGAAATCAGACAATATACAGTCAAACCCCGGTTTATGGACATTCTGGGTAACAAATTTTCAGTTTATGGACTGGCTCTGTTTTAGGGAAGTTGCACCTGCTTATGGACTGTAAACTGGCTTATGGGCTGTGGTCCATTTTGCTGACTTTGAAAAATTGTTCAAAATTCAATTTTCAACCAATTTTAAAATTGTCCACACTCTACAGCTTTGCATGCACAAAGATGTTTTCTAAATTTCCTTTCTTAAACATGCAAAATCTGAACATTTGACAGAATTTCAACCAAACATGTGAAAACATTTCTGAAAATTGTAAAAAAATCACCAAAAATGTTTTTACTTTTTTGAATTTTAGCTGTTTCAATTTGTAACATTTTTCAACAAAAAGAAAGATGCTTGTAAAACATCACTGTGCATGACACCGTGTAAATAATTTTCATGTTTCATCAAAAGCAAATAAATTAGAATGGGCTAGACTAAAAAGTCTGAATTCTTGTTTCAGTTTTTCTTCCCAATTTTTCATCTTTTAAAATTTGCAAAAAAGGTAATCATGCACTGAAATGAAAATTTTAAACTACATTGAAAGCATCATGAAGTTCTCTGCACTTCCCATTTTTTAAACCATAAGATGATCCAAGTTGACAAATGTGAAAATGAGAATGTAAAACATTTTCTAAATGAATTCTTCCAGAACAACATGTTTTCAGATCTGATAATTTATTAACAATTTCCTTATTTACCAAACTTTGAATATTTAAAGGGATTAGAGGTGCAGAGATTTCTTCTGAGTTTTGTGCTTTTTGTTGAAAAATCTAGTAAATTAAAAATGTATAAGCAAAAAACTAGAACTTTTTAAATTTTGTTATTGTTGGTCTGATAATTGTGCTTCTTTTAACAATGTGCTCTTTTATAACTGTGCTTATTTTAATAACTGTGCACATTATGCACTGTCAATACATGAAAGAATGAACCATGCTGATTAGTCTCTTGATTACAAAATCTGAAAAAATTCTAGTTTCTTGCTCAATTCTGCAATTAGCTATTTTTTTTAAGAATGACAAATTTTAAAACTGCTCTGCACATCTAACCCCATTACACATTTAAACTAGGGGAAATTTTCTCTTTCACCAACCTTTGAATTTTCAAAGGGATTCCAGTTGCAGAGAATTTTCTGAATTTTCATGTTTTGTGTTGAAAAATCTATCAAATTAGAGAATTTGCCATCAAAAATTAGAACTTTTTTGATTTTGTAATAGGATATGACTAATAAATGCTTAATTGTTTAATGTATTGAGAGTGCATAAAGTGCAGGGGTTGTGCAGTTTCAGAATGTCAGTGTTTCTGAATTTTTATCCCACAGGATGAATTTTCCCTCTTTTTTTTATAAAAAGAGTATTTTCTTAAAATTTCCCCTTTTTTCTTCCTTTAGGAAACAGGGGAAATTCTCCCCATTTTTTTTTCTCAAAAAGAGGGTTCTCCACATGGTTGAAGCTCTCAAGAAGACTGACTATATGTGGATGAAGAGGTTTTCTTTTTTTACTTATTCCTGGATTCCTTGGGACACAGTGGTTAAATTTTTGAGGCATGTGATTGGCCTATTAAGGTGCAGTCAAAGACATCACAGCCTGAACAGAAAGCATCAGAATTGGGGAGGGAACTAAGGGATTTTAAGTTTTTGATGCTTCCTGTGTCTTGCTGTTTACTTTTGTCAATTTCGAAGTTCTGAAAGTAAATAATTTTGCCGGCATGATGAAGCGCCTCATCAATGAGTTAATGATTCAATGAGTCAATCAATGATGAGGTGTCTGGCGCCTCATCATGCAGGCACACCCCCTCCTTACTGCCCGGGTCAGGTCTGATTTTTGCGCCAACCCTGGCACTAATTTTTGCGCCCCCCCTAGCCAGGCGCCCGTGTGCAGTGAACCCGCTGCACCCGCCTTAGGCCGGCCCTGGAAGCACATTTCATCAACTCCAAAATACTTTTCCCCTCTTTAAAGCGCATTGGGCTGAAAGACATGCTTCAAAAATTTCCAAAAAATGAAGCAAATATAGAGACAAATACAGAAAGAAAAAATATTGTAATTTGTGAGTGAAAGTGTCAAAGCCAATCATAGAAACTATGTACAGTACATGCCCAAGGAATAAGAGAAGAACAGGGCATTAAATACTGATGTTGGTGCAAATAATAAGTGAAAGAAACAAGGCGTTGTGAGCAAGGTGTGTGACTAACCCTCTGTCTTTGGAGTGCGAGGGNAAACAGGGGACCTTTATATAGAGAGCATTAAATTAAAAATTCCGAGCATCCATTCAAGTTTACTGGGCGTATTTGAAATTTGAAAAAATGAATGGATCCTTATTCAAGGCTCAGGAAGTCGGTACTTTGAAGACTCTTCATCTTACCCCTCACGAAAAATTACATCAATGGAGGAAGTAAAAGAAACTCGAAAAATTGACACGATTTCGTTCCCCCTAAACTATACAAATATCTTTCGAAAATTTCAAATTCATGAAGTATAGGAAATTTATATTTGTGTGCTTATGTGATTTCATCAGTTCCATCAGGAAAACAATAAAATAAATGCGAAATTCACAGAAGATCGTAAAGCAGCTTAAAATAAATACCTTTTAACGTTCATTCCATTTGTCAATAAATCCATATGAAACAAAAACTTTCAAGTGAACCGGAAAACAGACCCACTTTCGCCATCGACACCCTCCAAAAATTAAAATTAGAAAATGAGATGAAATATAAAAACCGACTAAAACTGATGCCACTTGAGAAACGTGCTTGAGCATAAAATATTTTCCGACCTTCCGGGCGACACTCCGAAAAAATTCGTTGCCAAGCGGCGAAAAAAAAAGCCAAGTTTATTTTCGACGAGAACCGACAAATATTTTTCGGAACATCGGCACGAGCTGAATCCAATCCTTCCCTTTTTTTTTATTCTTCAAGTCTTCAAACAAACAAACAAACAAACCCTAATGTTCAGATGATTGACATGAAATCCTCTACCGAAATTGTTTTTCCGCGAATATCATATTTTACAAGAGGCATCTGGAAATTTGAGAGATTTCTCGAATCATAAGGAAGTAAAATATCATAAATCAGAGTGTGCTTCTAAATAACTTTCATCTCCTGAAGATGAAAATTTTCGCTTACGAATATAATATGGAACGTTCTGATGAGAATCTGCTTACTGTAAATTAAATATAAATCTTCAGAACATCTGTGCGGAGGAGTTGGGAAGAATCTGGGCCGAAGTTGGAAAGGATCATAAAAGAAACAGAAATCATTGGAAAGACTTCTCACGAAATATTTTATTTTTCCATGAGTAAATTAGAAATATTTTATTTAAGGATTTCGATATGTAAATTTTTCTTTGAAAAAGCGTGTTCGGAAAGATCCTGCTCCATTTCAGGGAGCATGCAATTATTAATGAATAAATGCTCTTCTTACGCATATAATTTCTCTTTTTTCAGCTCATACTTTTGCAAGAAGAGATTACTTTTAAATGCAGGAAAGGGAAGGTCTAAAATACAATTGTACCCTACTTTACTTTTCAGTTTTTTTGATTACATTAAACCACATCTAATGGACTTAATTCATGGAATGGACAAGTCTGCTCAACAAAAAATCCTTCAGACAAATTCAATTATGTACATTAAAACTTTTGATTGTCAACACTAATTTTAAACCAACAGAAGTCTATTAGGCGGATTTTGTCTGTTGAGCGGAAGGAAAAACTGCTTGCAGAGCTAGTCTTTTAGGCAAAAATCCCATAAGTGGAAGGTCTGCTAGGCGGGGGCCAATGTATTTGATTTAAGGAATTTAAAAATATGAACACGTTGTTGGGGACCTGCTGCCTCAGTGTGATACGCGCCTCATTAGTGGAGGCATTAATTGAGTGGGTAACATCACCCAAGGACAAAAACCAATCACCCAGAAAAATTGAGAACTTTCATTCACAAAATTCTGAGCGCAGTGTTGCCTTTGAATCAGATTATTCTAGTCAATCCCAGGACTCCAAAATTTGCCTGATCTAGGGTAGAGTATTGGATAAAGGCCACTCACAATAATTAATTAAATTATTTTTTTCTTCTTAATCTTTGCCAGTCTGTCTTGAGCTGTCATTGGAAACATTTGGGTATTCAAAAGGTCTTCAAAAGCTTGCTGAGGGGGTTTCTGTGATGGTCAGTTTTGCGTCTTGAACTTGTT